CAGAAGAAGACGGCCGTAGTGATCGATGCAGCGGTTCCCAATGACAGCAACATCAGGAAGAAGGAACACGAGAAGCTGGAGAGGATGTGGAGGGTGAAGTAAGTCGGGTTTATTTCTTAAGTGCTTTTCGTAGACAGGCGGTCACAAAGGTTAAAATAAAGAAAACAGTAAGTAATAAAATAGACAATATAAAGTGTTGATTAACACAAGGCCTGTTTAAACAATAAAGTTTCCACAGAGTCAACCAAACGTAAACCACAGACTGAAAGGCTCCGCCCCCTTTCGTCTTCAGTCGTGTACGGGAACCAACGAACTCTGAGCCTGTGAGACAACGAGCAGCAGTGAATTTTAAAAGAAGCTTGGATAAATAATCTGGGGCCATTTAGTGCTTTGTAAGTTAAAACAAGAATTTTAAACAAATTCTAAAATCTGTTGGGAGCCAAAGAAAAGAACATAAAATGGGAGTGATGTGAGCTCGCTTGCTAGAACGTGTTAGTCGCCTGGCCGCACAGCTTGGAGGCGAGAAAGACATGATTTGTCCAAGCTGGTAAACAAGGCATTACAATAATCTGAGGTACGGTGGCTCCAGCAGATCCCGGGAACAACATCGGAGATCTCTGTCCAGAAGAGCGCAGTCCTGGGAACAGCTGAGATGCTGCAGGACCCTCAGGCTCCCAGGCCTCTGGTAGAGGACCAGAGCTTGGAGGAGAGACCGGCCGCAGGCGCGAGCGGAGATTTATTTTCCTTTTATCTCTAAAGAAACATGGAAACATTTTACAGGAACTGTAAAAAAACACACGCTCACTGCACACCAGCTTCTTTAACTTTAATAGAGACAAAAAAAAAAATACAATCCCAATTTTTCAAACACAAATATTAAAAACTGTCAGATAGAAAAGACAACAAATCTGAAAAAGCTCAGAGCTTTTGCACTGTTGGTTTAATAAAAGACCTGATATACAACCTGCAACACAAAGCGATAAAAATATAGTGTCTGTTGTATTATAGATTATACGGTAAACCCAAAGCTTGCATTCTGCTAGATGTTATGTATCCAGTATAATAAAAAAAGGTCACAAACTCTCCACATTTAAATAGTTCATCACACAGCAGTACGCGGCAAACTAATACTTTCTTTATCACAACACATTTATTAATTCATGAACATTCGTGCATGGCTGGATTAGTGATGCATTTAGTATTTACACGTTTATTAAATAAGACGGGCAAACGAAACAAAACCTAAAGAAACTGTTGATCAGATCTAGTGTCAAACATAATCCGGGGACCAGGTTGACGTGGAGGAACAGTATATGTGGAGCTGCCGTTATTGCTGGGCCGCACAGTCACCAACAAACACCAGAGCAAAAACCAAAACGACGGCGTCAGAGGTGAAAGGTCGGTTGGTTGTCAAACTGTGCAGCCCTTTCTAGGTTTGCTGGTGAAAATGAGCAATCCGGCCTTTTAAAAACCACTTTCTGTGCTAAACTGGCACCATCAAAACTGAAAGAGCGAGGTTCACACGAATCACCAGCACAAGGAAGAAAAGGGAAGTCGTTACTGTGGAGACGTTTGTAACTGGTCAGTGCGCGGTGTTTCTCAGAAGTCTACTGCACTAAAAGGAACCGTTAATCAAGACGATCTAGGAAACAAAACCTCCTGAGAATGAAGCGACGTCAGTGCTCGAACTTTAATGTTTTTAAAAAGCAGAATGTGTGACCAACATGGCTTCCTTCTATCCTTAAAAATGGCTTGGCCAAAACACGTTTTCAAATTAAAAGTACTGAATAGCTGAAGGACCGGGAACAACATATCAAAGACAAGACACTTGAGGTTATTTATTAACTAATGAGGTGTTTAGCAGGGCTGATAGCAAACCAGGCCACGGCCCGTTCAAAGGTCATTTACACACCTTTGAAGCAAATCAAAAATCACGAGCCGAGAAGAATGTAAAAAAGCCAACGATGTGTTTATTGTAGCTCTATGGAGTTTATGT